GGCGATAGACTTCGAGACACTCGCTCAATGACTGACTATCAGCTCGCTAGACGTGGCACACATACTAACTGACTGCGGACCAGCAGGTTTTATTTAGCTTTCGGCTTGTGTTCGAGAACATTCTGGGCTAAACCGGTAAGAATTCGTTCCAGAAGGTTCTCCATCCGTCCATGGTATATTGCCAATTTTGTCGCCAAATGGGCGATTTCTCTCCACATATGGCAACCCGGCCTTCCCTTGGCATTTTATGGAAACCCTAAAACTGCTTTGCGGGGAAGCCATGTTACCGCGCCTGTACATTTCGTAACAATATGCATGAAAAAAGAAATAAAGGGAGTAAATAAAAATGTATGCATTATCAACATTTAATGTTAGACAATTATTTGTAAAAAAAAAAAAAAAAAAAAAAAAAAAAAAAAAAAAAAAAAAAACATATTTTAGCTTCTCCTTCCTAAAAAAGAGACCCAAGAAAGAAATGCATTAATTAAGCAAATAAATTTATAATGAAAAAAGGTCAATTTCCTTATTTTTTCAGAAAACGGCATGATGTTATGATATAAATTGATAAATGCTAATAACATCACTATTAATATTTTTACACAGAGGGCAAATCAAGGGGGAAAAATGCATTCCGAAAACTTTCAAATGTAGTTAACACATCGAAGAGTTTACCGTTAAAGTTAATATATATATAAAAACCACACACACATACACACACAAACCCCTCAAAAACAAATTTGCAATCTGCTCGTAATATGCAAATTTCAGTTTAATACCTGAAACAGTTTTAAGCTAAGCAGTTGTAACAGGTTTAATAGTTTGCGGGATTCATTTAATTTATCTAACAATTAATATTTATTTTAATGCAACTTTCCTTTGATTCTTGTCAATCCATGTTTTCTTGCCAGAACGTTGATAAGCAAGCGCGCGTGTATCCAAAATGAGGTAGAAAGGAGTAGTATTTAAGGGAAGGTTTGAGAAGATGATTTTAGAGCGTGTTATGCCTGCTTGAAGTTCCCTTTACTATCTTGAATTACAAGCGATTAGATTTCTGTGGCGTTGAGCACTTTTAACCATTAAGCTTGTTTACGCCGACTTTTACATGTCAGAGCAATCCTGCACCTTAAACTATCCCGTGAATTGTTAGGCTAAACCTAACTATATTTAATTTTAAGTTCATCATTACTTTTTTGAGCTAAGCCAAAAGTGTTGACTTCTGTAAGCACAATTCGGTGCCATCTGTGATTATATTGAGTTAATAAAGGGTTCTTTAAACCCTTCTCTTGCGAAAAACATGAGAAGTTAAAAGTTTAAGAACTAATTCTGCAAGAGTTAGATACAAGACACAAAATTTTATATTTAATACGTGTAATTAAAATGACAAAGTTAAATAACAAAGGGGGAAAGGTTGCTATAGTATCATCGAAAATATTTCTTTCCAGAAGTTAAAGAGCAATAAACAGGAAAAAAAGGGCAGGAAACGGATGGGCTAGTAAATAGAAAATGACGGAACAAAAAGCTTCATTAAACATTCCACTGATATCGAACCATAAGCTACACGACTAATTTCCTTTAATGAAGAGAAATCAATACAAAATAAAGCACAGTACTCTACCTAGATTTCGAATCTATATTTCATAATTGTAAAAATTATAAAGTTTGGATTTTAATATATCCTTTTGTTTTATTTTCAGTTTTAAATTAAAAATTTCTGCTCAGGAAATTATAAATGTTCAGAAATATTTTAAATAGTTAATGTAGTATAGTTTAAATAGTTAATATTTTAAATAGTAAATGTATTTACTCTTCTACCATACAAGAATATTATATATTTAAAGCCTTTTTTAAAATAGATATGTAGTTATTCATGGAAATCACTGATAACTGTATTGAAAATGTAAACAGTCTCATTGAACAGCAATGAAAATGAGGAAAATATGAAGCTGCAAATTTTGGAGGTAAATAAAAAAGATCAGAATTACTTTTAGTAATTCACTGTTTTCGGCTAACATATAACTATGCTCTGACTAAAATAAAATCCTTAGACACGATCATATCTTCCATATGAAGTTACAAACAACTTTTTGTTTAGCTCAGGACATAATTTCTAAATTTAGAAATGCCGGAGCCCTGTGAAAGATCATCAGGAAAGAGGAGGAAGACTAAATAGATAAATAAAATGATAAAGTGATTGATAATTAAAAAATTAAATAATTAATGATTAGAATAATTACATGATTAAAACTTAAATTTAACAAAATGTAAAAAGATAAATAAAAATTTAATAAGGTATTTCTCCCGCCTTCTTACTATACCTACGTGGTGTAATGGCCAGCACACTCGGGGCGTATTCGAGAGGTCCGTGGTTCGAATCCCGGGAAGGGTATTCCTCATTTTTCATCTATCGTGCTTCCGAATAACCTGATATCTCTACAGTGGCGCCCGAACTAAAAAAAGGTGGTTGAATGACGATTCTTCACCACCAGGATTTGGCAACTGGGTTCCCTAAAACCCCAGTCGCCCTTTAAAGATATTTCTCCCGCTTTCTTACCATACCGTCGTGGTGTAATGGCGAGCACACTCGGCGTGTATTCAAAAGGTCCGTGGTTCGATTTTCATTTATCCTGCTTCCAAATAACCTGATGTCTCGACAAAGTTATTAAACAAATGAAAATAGTTAAGTAATAAAATAAATTAATGGACCTTGACTTATTTCGGGTTGAAGCTTGAATTACAATTTTACACAAAAACTAAGAAATTGCTCAACCGGTTACCGATTGAATTTAACCTCTGAATATAATGTACTGCTTCAATTGATGAGAGAAATAAAGACAATTTTTTTTCAGAGATGCCAATTAAAATGGTTAAAGCTTATCTAATGAGTCTAGACGGAATGCCAGAAACAGTAACAGAATGTAGAGAAAATGTCTAGCCATAATCTCGTGCCAAAATAAATCTAACTGTTAAATGAAAAGTGATTGAGAAAGAACTTTTCCCCGAATTCGAGGGTTAGCTAAGACAAAAGTAAAACAGGACAATTTTCGTCCCATCTTCGGTTATATCGTTCCCAAAAGCCTGCAGGTGCTCTTTCCCGCGAGAAGACACTAGCGTTGGAATGAAAAATTTAAGCGCTGTCATAAAGTCATTTTACTTTTTGCAGAATAAGCCTATCCATGTGGCTGGAGGTTTTTCTTCACTTAAAAGTTTCGACCTCCATTCAAGGGTTTGTTTCCCAAGGAAAGATAGGTATGCATTCAGAAGTGAGGATCGGTTATTTTATATAATTTTATTATTAAAAATAAAACTTTTAAGATCTAATTTCTGCTCAAATTGTTGTTCAGTTATATAAGAAGAACATACATAAAAATAAGTATATTTATCTAGTTATGTTCCGGCAGTTTTATGTTCTTCAGAACATAAAATTGCCGGAAGGAATAAAGAATATAATACATAAAGAATAAAGAACTATAAATAAATACATAAAGAACTGCCGGAACTTTCATATTGAGGGTTTTGGAGCCCTCCGCTAGAATTATGGTTTATCAGAAAAACTAAGAAGTGCTGGAGCCTGGCTCCGATTCAATTTAAGCTCTGGCTTTTCTAGGAAAAATATTAAACTAGTATTGTTCATTGAGAGCACATATGATGTAATGTACCTTTTATGGAATTTGCTTTTCACTTACTGAAAAATATCCATTTGTTACTTAATTCATAACAGCATAGTGTCACCATGGATGCTCTAAAAATATATTCATAGAAACAAATGTCCAGGAAAAGTACAGCGGAAAAACACTAGAAGACATTTTGTGGTTTTATTTTTGATTATTTTATGCAAAATTATTTAATGTTATGTCATAAATGTTACCGAAAGATAAAATTTTATTATGTATGAAATTAACATTACTCCTTTATTTTTATACAAGAAAGCTGCCTGTAGCTTGCCTGTATGGTATGAGAGTTATATTTTAAGATGGATTTAGAAATAATAAAATTAAACATAAAATGTTATAGGAACGCAATTATATTACGTAGGATTGCATTATGTGGATATACACTTATATTATGCTCTTATTTAAAAAAAATTATACGACAAATAATTGTTATGACGCTTATTTTTTACCTTTTACGTAGGATTGCATTATGTGGATATACACTTATATTATGCTCTTATTTAAAAAAAAAATATACGACAAATAATTGTTATGACGCTTATTTTTTACCTTTTATCTCAAAGAAATTCTTCTAAGTGGAAAAAATTTTCACCTTGTGTGTAGTCAATGGATATGTCATTTATTCTTTAAAACGCTGTATATTTTATAAAATACGATATTTATTTTTTATGCATTTACTGTTTTGATGCACAACTAACAAAACAGTAAGTACTAATTAAATATTGGATTATATCTGAATATTTTCCACAGCAAAACGGCTTTAAAAAAATAAATAAAAAATAAAAAACTTTTAAAGGGCAAAATTAAATGTTTGATTGAATGAAACTTATTGTCGTATATCAGCAATATAATCAGTGTACAGTATGATATTTTTGTTCTAAGAAGAACATTATCGCATTTTTCGTAATAAATAAATAATACATTTAATAATTATAACAATCCATGTGTAATATTTCATTGTCTTTTTTCCCAGGAATGCATTGTCTTCGGATAATTTTTCTGTGGATACTTTTCTGAGGATAATATTTTCCGGGAATATCTTTTTCAGGCTCTTTTGTCAAGGTTATTATTATTTTTTCTCTTCCAAGAAATATTTCTCCGACATTCCATGCCGTGAAAGATGTACTCTCAAATGACGGCACAGTTTTAGCAGACTACAATTAAATGGAAATTGAAATTTATATTTACTAATACAGTAAAAATAAATCGAATTTAGTAATTCAGCGATGTTAATATTTATTTTGTCAATTGAACAACACAATTCTTGTTTTCTATCATATTTTGAAATGAAATTAAAGATCATACAGTTGACATGTCTTCATATCATACCTTGATGGCTTCTAAAACATTTCTTCTAATATCCTTAGCCTTTTCCTGCCTTTCACTGAAATTGAGAAAAGAAAAAATTATATTTAGGTAATAGGAAAAAAAAAAAAAAAAAAAAAAAAAAAAAAAAAAAAAAAAAAAAAAAAGCTTTGACCATTTAAATCTTTGTGTTACCGTTCAAAAATATGCAATAGGAGTGTTTTAGTAATAATTTTAATGTGAAGAGGAATAATGAAAAAAACTCTTTGAGTTACCTGTCGGAAAATCCTTGAATGTGTAAAATTTTCATTTGTTTTAGGATTGTTGACTTTCCGGACTCTCCAGCTCCTGAAAAATAATGTTCAACTCTGTTACTTCTCACGTTATTTTATTTTAAACTCATTTTGTACAGGCATTAGGTTATTTCGAAGCAGGAGACAAGAAAAACGTGTAATGCCCTCGCCGAGACTTGAACCTCGGACCTCTCGAATACGCGCCGAGTGTGCTGATCATTACACCACGAAGGCATGCTAGGAAGGCGGGAAAATACATTATATACTTCCCCTTTTGAAGGCTCGCCAAATTTTGGTGGTGGAGAATCATCATCCACCACCTTTTTTAGTTCAAGCGCCACTGTAGAGACATTAGGTTATTTCGAAACAGGAGATATGAAGAATTCCCTAGCCAGGACTCGAACTTGGGGCCTCTCGAATACGCGCCGAGCATACTGACAATTACACCACGAAGGCATGCTAAGAAGATGGTAAAAATGCCTTATAATTTTAATGGCTTAAGTATTATAGTAGCCGTTATCATGCTAGATACTTTTCCTATACACGTCATATACTTATCATGGAAAATTTTCTTTACTTTTCTTTTCTTTAATATCTTTATGATAGAAAATCTTTCATTCAAATCTACTGAAATAAGTTTTATAAAGTAAAATTTTCTTAGCTTTGATTCAAGCGCGCTTTCAGTGTGAATGATGGTAAACGTTATTGTAAGCTAGAGTACTTCTTTTAAAAAATACCCATAATTTTAACATTGAATTAGCCTGCACTATAATGATTGCTAAATTATACACTATGAATATTGTAATATTTTAACTAAATTGTGATGATTACTTAATTCGCTGAATTTAGTAAAATATTAATATGCTAATTCAGAAAAGGAAGTAAATCATTTATCATCATGTAATAACTTAATTAAAATACTGGCTATAGTGTTCGATAAAACTGACCTTTACCCACCTTGTTCATTCCTGAAGCAATTAAGCACTTATCTAGAAATTGTGAAAATGGTGAGATCTCAACAAGAAGAAAATTTAATGGACACGTAAAATATGACTTAACTTTTTATTTAATTTTAAATACGTTACTTTTTGACAATTCATCTTCTTAAAAAGTAATTTTTAAGGAAACAATCTTAGCTAAATTTCATATTTATTCCTAGCTTTGATTCCTTTTTTGAAGTACCGGAAGCTGCAAATTTTTTATACTTTTTGGGAAAAGTTTTAGTTTAGCTAGTCAATAATTGTACTGTTATTTTGTATATCTATATGCGCTCTTAAGTGCTTTACTGCTGTTACGTTTGGTTTGCTACTCGGTCTTTTAGAAAGTTTTCGGTTGTTATATTTAACATCAATAACATTTTCTTTCAAGGGCCATAATCCAAGAAACATTACGACAGAAATATAAAATCGACATCTTAAATCAGCATTTAATACTTATCTTCCGTAGGGAATGAGATTGGAAATCTAAACAATAACAAGCAAGAAGGCATTAAAGTTTTAATCCAAAATTTAAGGATTATAAATTAGATTTCAGAAATCTCCTGAATTATTCGCCATCCATTTTTGTATAAGCAACTTTTCATTTTCGATTTCCAGACCGAAAACATTGCATAAAGTAAGTCAACATAGGAATGTTGCTGACATTCAGCTTTCAGAAGCCATAAATACTTATATCTGAAAACAAACATCAGCGTTTAGTGTGTCCTTTTGCTCATATATCTTTCTATGCGCCGATCAGGCTGGAGGCCTTCTTCGTGGATAATACGGAAGTGATATCAATCATTGTTCGACGAAAGATAACCGTACAATAATGGTCGATTCGCTTCACGTGGACTCTTGTATTAGCAGCTAATTTATCTTTTCTTTGAAACTTGCTGATAACGCAGGAGCTCTTTCAGTAGAACCTTAAAAGACAGCAGTTTAAGAACCCCCTTTAGAAAGAACAGTTTAAAGCAAATGCATGTTGAATGTACGGGTCAAAGGCAATAATTCCAGAAAATGTAATTTTCCCACCAGTCTATTTTACTTAAAATACTGTCTATTCTACTTAATAAACTGTTAGCTTCAAAACGGTTATTTTAAGGAACAATGATGGTATCGTGAATAATGGGATCAGTTTTTTCTTCTCACCGCCAAGGATATCTGGGAATAAGCCCGTGCCAAGCCTAATCGGCACCACCGTGGAAAAGCCTAACGAACGCCTTATGCGGTGATGATATTAAGGGGAATTGCTTATGGTTAACACTTAAAGTGAAGTATTATTAACATAACAGAAATAAAAAAAATTACATTTTCTCTTTTAATTTTTCTAAATGGGCAAACGTTTTATGCTTTCTTAAAACCCACACTCAAACATATTTATTGAAGAATTATATAAATATTTATATTATAAAAAAAATAACATTGCAAGCGAAGTGAAATAATGTACTAAACGCACTGGATAACAAATATACTGCTTACCACTCTTTATTTTCTTAAAATAAAAAAATAATAATAATAATTTGCATGTCTAATAAGTTTGCAAATTAATTGTTGTTCGCAGCGTCGTTTACGACAAGGTTCGAACAGTAATTACAACAGGGCACAAAAAATGCTTTAGGGTTGATGTCCAAAATTCTTTTCTGCCCACTTTTTTGTTGTTGACAACGATATAGTTTCAACCGGCGAATGCTACATATTTTCCAAAAGTTTTCAAAAACTACAGTTCATGCCCAAGATCTATACTATTTATATCGTTTTCATTTTTATTAGTTAATGCTTTTTGCTGTTTTTGACATGAGTTAATCTTGTACTATATATAGGAGAAAATACGTGATGCCGATGCGTATGTAAGGGTAGACGCGTTCGACAAATTGATTAATCCTTATTTTGTGTTTACTGTTGCAATCGTAGTAATTTATGTAACAATTACCGTTTTGGTGATTTTTTTTTTTTTTTTGGTGATTGCTTACTGTTATTATACATAAAAAAAGTTAAGTGTAGTTACTTATTATGTTAAACTTAGGTTAGCGTTTTAATTCAGGAAAGCGACAATTTGAGCAAAATTTTTCGAAAAACGTTTTACATGAACCATTTGTTTATTAAATGTAAAATTATTAGCTATCGCGAAAAAAGATTGACATATTACAGAATAACATTGAATTTATATAGTATACCTATTTGAGATTTGAAGTGAAGTAAAAATATACAAGGTGCTTTGATATTATAAATTGACCATTTTCTCATTTTTAGCAGTACGGAAAACTGAAGAAAACTTATTCGTTTTCATTACGTCTTAAATACAAACTTTAAATTTGATTTATTTATTTTAATAAACAAAAAAGTACCACTACTTCCTTGAATTATTTGATATTGATCTAATAGTTCATATTTTTTCCCAGCAATAATTTAAGATATACTCAGTTTTTTAGAAGGAAGGTAAAATACTTCAAACAGTGACTTTCTGAGTATTTTTAACAAGAAGTGTTTCTCGCAGGGGTTCTTATAATAGTTATTTTCTACTTTGATTTTACAGGTACAGGAGACGTGAAAATAGTTCAATACCCTCGGACGTGAAAATAGTGCAATACCTTCCGATTGTTAGCCGACTGTGGTTTTTAGTTACATCACGGTATCATTTGGTAAAGGGAGTAAAACCATACATTTTCTATGCTTTTCGGCTATGGTTTATGTTAATTCTAAGATTGCACAAGTACACTAAATTCCTTGTTATCCGTTTTGTAGAATACCATACTTGATTCTCCCAAAATGTTGTATTGCTGAAGCTTGAAGGAGAAAATTCATTATCTATGACTCTTTCGAAGGAATTCAGAAGGATTTAGGGAGTCAGACTGCTAACACTTTAAACGAGTTAAAAATACTAAAATAATAATTCAAACATTCATGCTCGGAAAAACTAATTCTTGATATCATAAGAAAGGAAATTCTCGGACCTCGTTGAAATGATTTCCAATGTTCAAAGTTTTGAAAATAAAGAAAAAAGTCAAGGGTGTGTGTATAGTGAAGATGAATTCTATGGAATTTTATTAGAAAATATAAGCTGTTAAATGTTTTTTTCAAATACGAGCAATCTGTAATTGCCTAATAAAATGGCAGGTTTAAAATCAATAACCACATTTAATAATTTTAATCTTAATTTTATTTTTAATAATCAATCTAGTTATATAATTATAATAAAATACATTCAATACCATAACTTCTAAAGATAATTTTTGTGAATATTAGCAGTGTTATTGTAATTAATAAATGTTATTCTTCAAAGTCAAGTATCTGACACAAAAACTATTATTATTATTATTATAACATAAAATCGCACAAAAAATCGGAATATTAAAGAGATTTATAACTTTTTGTTCTAAAAAGGGGGAGAAAATAAGAGGCAGTACATCAAACGCGTAAAGTAAATAATAACTGATGGCAATTTATTACGTTTCATATCAAATTACAAATCCGGCAGTTATGCGTGTTAAAATGTATGAGCTCTATTATTCCTTGCTTTTTATTATTAAAATTTTCCAAGTCTTTCAGTGTTATCTATGACGGAAGCCATCTTATCACAATTTCCATCAATGAAACGAATAGAACTTTTACAGACACTGAATATTATAATCCAGTTTTACAATCGATGACAAATTTTTTACTTTCTTCCACAAAATAAAGGAAATATTCTAATTTAAAAAAAATTTCCATTATCAGAAATAAACATTTTTGCCGGTTTAACTGCTTTTTACATGTTGTCTGTACTTACGGACAAAATATAGGACTCTTTATTCCAAAATGGATTGTAAAATAAGTTAAAAATGGAATTTTTGTGACGTCTGAACGTATATACGTGTGTTATCTCGTGTCACTCAAAAGCGATTAGCCGCAGAACGTTGAAATTTTATGTATGGGACTGCATCTAGTTGTGCATTTTCTTTTTTATTGAAATCAGCAGTACCAAAAGTATATATATATGAATTTCTTCCTCTATATTGGAATTTTTTACATTTATTGCTTTTAATTTTATTCCCCTTTTGCTTGTAAATCCTACGATACTGAAAATATAGCAAAGAGTTTTTCTATATTTTATATTAATATTTAAAATATAATGTCGCTCAGGAGGTATAGTGGTTAGGGAAGCCTACTACTGTACCTAAGTGCCCGGGTTCGAATCGCGGAGAAGACATGGATGTTTGTAAATGTACAGTCTCGGTGCTGGATGGTGGCACTCTTAATATGCGGCGAACCGAAAGATCTCTCGTGTGGATTGGAGTAAGGGTAGACCCCCGGACATTATCGGTCAGTTTTATCCATTTACCATTTGCTTGCAACTAAAGGTTTAAAATTCTACATTAAATTAATAGTCTGAGGGGAATTCAGGGACATTTAAATTAATTAGATACAAGTAATTAAAATTTTTCTCAAAGTATCTAAATAATTAAAGAATTTCCTTAATCATCTGAATAAGGAGCCAATTAATTAATTTTTCATACCTAACAGGAGAAATTTGATAATGTTCCTATATTCCTTCATCCACTGAGCTATTTCTTTATCTAAAGTTCGGCTGTGACGATAACTAGGGTCTGGAGGTCTACAGCAGGACATCATCTTTCAGATACAGATTTTCTCTATAACAGCAACTGTAAAGAGAAAAATAAAACCAAATAGATTTATTGAAAGATATGCTAAGCATTTAATCAAATTTGACGCACATTATTAAATATAATTTAAAAACATTTTTGTATATTTAATTTTCGACGAATTGTCCTATTAAAGATAAGATTTTATTGGGTGTGTATTATTTAATTACAAAACCTTGGTCTAAGGAGAGGAATTTTTTCATGAGAGATTTGTCAAAGGAAACTGACCCCTTGTTTACGTTACGCACAAGGAAAATCACTAAAACGCTATGTAGACAGCCCAGTCAACCACTGGAAACAAAACCGAGGGTTAGCTATATTCTTTTGCGTTATAAGCCACTCTCGGTTCTCTTAGATTTATTCCAATCACTTTATTCTTAGCTAAATTTAGAAATCTGAAGAATTTATATGCTTAACTAAAAGATACATATTCTGAAGTATGCTCACGATGATGCTAAAATACTCATGTCTTCAGTTGTGCAGAGGTAATGACACCCTGAAGATTAACTTCATTTTGTAAATTCCAATTATTTTGCTATCCAGTTTTGATCTGAAATTTAATTTTTCCTAGGTTTTCCAATTTGTACACGCTATGTTCAAGAGGATATAGGTGAAATGAATTTATAAGATAAATACGCTTCTAAGAATGTCATGTCTTTGTAATTAATTTGGACGATAGGTATCTGCTGCCACTTTAGTCTGTTACTTTAAAATAACAACTTCAAAACTATTTTCCAACACCGGATTTGGCTTGTAAACATGGGAACAAAAGACGGAGGGGGAATGGCGAGTCGCTTAAATTTTTCCCCATCTTCAGTTCCGCTTCATGAAAACAACACAAATGAAGGCTGAGTTGAACTACAACCTCAAATGACTCTAAGAAAATATATGCGCTGGGTGAGGATATAAGTTACGTAAATGGGGAAAGAGCTGGCAAAACCTTGGAATACTTATTTCAAAGTAACACACTAAAGTCAAAGTAATCTTCTAGTATAACAGTAAGAGCTGTATTATTTGCAATGGTTTGAATGCACTCGCTGCTAAACTTAACTCGATGTAAAGAAGAAAAAAAAAAAAAAAAAGCTCATAAGTTTCTGTTTTTGAATTTATTAATTTATTACTAGCAAAGAAGAGGTGATTTAGATTATGATAGCAAAGCTTTTGTAATTTAAATAGTTAGAGGAATATTGGAGTGCAACTTAAATGCGTGAAAGATAGTTCAAAGCAAAAAGTGTGCGTCATAAATGAAATAACTTATTTTCTGAATATAAATTTTTATCAAAATCATTTAATTTCCTGATTTCCTGTCAACAGAACTTACAAGCACGTGATTTTGTCAATTAGTTTTGCAGCTATAATCCTCTCGAAAGCTTGTTGTCAGGAAAGGAGATGTAAGAGATACTCTGATGATTTCTCTGTCTCTAGATTGTTCTCATCAAAACTTAGATCACAGCTAATCAGCTAATCAGATCAGGGCTTAAACTGCGCCGGAACCCACCGGGGCCTGGCTCCGGTACTTCTAATTTTTGAAATTAAACCCTGAGACAAATTTCATAGAAAATCCTCTATGAATCTTCTTTTTAGGCAGAAGGCTCTCACATAATTTGCCCTAATCAAGTGGTAATAAGTAAATAAACAACGAATACATCAATAAACAGATTGTGTAAGTTTTGAGGAAGAAGAATAGACTTAGTCTTTAAGTTGTATTGCAATGATTCTTCTTCTGTGCGCGTTAAATCTTTCTAGAACTTCAGGGGCGTAGCTAGAGTTTCCAGCGCCCGGGGTCAACTGAAATATTTGCGCCCCTTTCTGTGTGCCAAGAATGGAAAACATTTCCTTAAAAGATTTCGTAGCATTAATTTGCGCCCCCTGGATGCTGCGCCCGGGGACAAATGTCCCCCCTTGCCCCACCCTAGCTACGCCACTGTAGAACTTCGTTGGTATTTCGTTTCTTCTTCCCTAAACTAGCTTTCGATTCGCATTCAAGATACATAGTCTATTCAAGCCATCCTTTGTTATTCTTGAGAACAACCGAATTTTTGGTCTGCACAAGCTCTGAATGAGGGCTCAGTAGTATTCGTAGTTAATGGTTAAGAGAAAAAAGTAAGAACAACATTTTCTGCTTCTGCAGCTGAAGAAGAATGTTCTGTATTTAAACCTTCGAAACTAATCCTGGAAATTTACGACGCTCATTCTTGTTGCCTTAACACTTCTAATAATCGTTATTTGAAGCGTTATTTTAATTCAGATAACCTATTTTGTTCATGGGAAGGGAAAGAACGTTCTTTCACCAAATATTCCGATGTTAGCTCCTTCTTTTCGTCGATTTTAAGTCCCTTCTCACTTAAAAAATTCTGTCAAAGTTCTACCTCAGAAAATTTTCCAAATCATTAAAATCACAAAATACCTAGCATTTCATCTGAATTCTTCGTCTGTCGTCCTTAATGTAACACAGAGAGCAATAACAATAAAGAAAGTGCTGATAAATTTTCTTTCGAAAATCTTTATTTCCACTGATGATATTTAGAATCCAAATAAAAATTTAAATATCTTTTCAAAATTTTGCTAGTTGCAAATATTGAGGAACTGAACTTCAATGATGTTATAGTCAGGACCAGTTTAAGGATTCCGCAACACAAGCAGTTGTGAAGATCCCAGACTAGAGAAGGGCCTCGCAAAGTGTTTTCACATTAAATAACCTTTCGTATGTTTACTGCCCATCTACCCAACACCTTTCACAAATTGCTTTGCGGCTTTGGGGAGAAAAAAAACTTGAATGGCAATGGACTAGAACCACTGTATAACAAGCTTAAGTAGAAATTAAGCAAGTAAAATTTCTCACTGAAATAGTACTTTAAATTCTCAAAATCAAAACTATTAATCACAAAGACCATGACAAATTGGGTCTAGGCAATTCCCTGTAAATTATACTGCATCCAGCAAGCTGTCCTTTTTGTTTGTTTGCAATACGTTAATACTTAATTGTCTTTGTGAATGGAAAAAGTTTGGGGTTACTGCCATTGGCGTAAATATTAGTGTGAAAAATATGCCGATGGCATGGGGGCGCAAAACTTTAGACAGTACTTAACGTGTTTTATGTCATTTCTGATGAAGACCCAATATGAAAGCGGGGGAACATTTCCACTGTTCTGAGAAAAGTCTGTAAGCCAGCCAGACTAATGTTTCATTGTTGGGATATAACAGGTTTCGCATGTATGTTTTATTTTTTCAGAAGCGGTTAAAAAGTGAAGATGTGCTTTCAAAACTAAGGAATTCTGTATTTTAAGCCAGGAGCCTGGTCGACTAAGTAAGTAAATTGCAATATTATAACTTCGCGAATTTTGCTCTGAATTGGTTGGTTTAGTTTACTTGATTATGGGAGACAGATGAAGGCCTAAGGAAAGAGATGCCCTCGTAGAAGACTTTCTACGGGAACCTGGATCCTATCTTGGTTACGTTCGGGAAAACCACCTACACGCCCATGAAGACAGCACATTCGACTCGAATCGATCCAGGTCAACTACAGGTGTTTAGTAACTTTACCATTCGGTCACTGATGGGCCACTTTGCATTTTAAGGTAAGAAATTTTACATTTAACTAATTAAACTAATTAATTAATTAACTATCATTTAACTAATTTAACTAAACATTTAACTAATTAAAGTATAATAAATATTTCATTAGCTGAAAAGTGTTTAATGAGGGGGCTGTATGAAAAGTTATATTTTATTACTTATACAGTCCATCCAACTCACTATGCAAAAGTTGTTTTCATAAAATTATATACTTTGTTCCTGAAAAAGTTTTTAATTGGATGCATTTTGTGTCTAGAGCAAGGGTTCTCAACCGGTGGCACGAGTACAACTGGTGATACGCAAGAGAAAAATTGGTGATACGCAAAGAGGCAAAGTATTTTTAACTATTAAATTTAAAAATTAAAATACCAATATACTGATTGAGTTTTTTCTCTAACACTCGTAAATTTATGCGATCTGAGCTTTCTTCAAGAGGGGTGGTGGCAGTAGTACTTTGTAGTGGTGGTACCAAAGGTTTTCAATTTTTGTTTAGATGGTACGCGTTAGTCCAAAGATTGAGAACCGCTGGTCTAGAGTCAATATTTAAGGAAATAAGCTAGTAGAGTTCTTTTTCGAGGACATTTCTTTGCAAGTAAAAATAAATAAATAAATTGCTTTTCTTTTCAAATCTTGTGGCGAAACTCTCCAGCGAATTGAAAATTGATACTCAGTCTCCTTTCAAGAGTATTAGTTTTCAAAAGAGAAATCCACAGAAAACATTTTTTTATAAAAGCTGGCTACATGTGTAGAGAATAACCATCCATATATTCAGATATTATTTTTCCTCTGAAATCGAACTCAGCATGTAACTAGATTTTTCAGAAAAGTTGATTAACTGCTCAACCTTCAGATGTAATGTAGTACTGTCTATAAATTTAATGAATTGAATAAAAAATCCGCCTTAATTTCAATATTAATTTCTTTCAGTCTTGAAACTGGATAATGTTCAATGAATGAATGAAGGCAGGGAAGTTCAGACAGCTGAAAGAATGGATGTCCAGGAATAATAATAATAATAATAAAAAAAAAAAAAAAAAAAAATCTACAAAAATGACAGTAAAAAACGCAACTTTAATAAATAAAGGCATTTTTTTACCGTTAATTTTAACAGTCATATTACTCAGCTATTGTATTATCTTAATTATCAAAAAACCAAAGAATATAGAAAAAAGAAAAGTAGAAACCAACAGAAATTAAAAGGTGAGAGAGAAAACCTTTAGATTACAATAATCCTTTACCAAAAAATTATATACTTAGAGAATTTTGCTTATGAAGTTTTCGATGTATGTTTTTAAGGTTACGATTTAAGGCGTCTATATGAATGCACGTTTTAAAATTATAAATGTTTATTTTAAGAAATTCGTAACATTTTTTGCACAGTTTTGAATAATTCATTTTTCTTCAGTAACTCACGGTATCAGGAG